TTGTAAAGGCTGACATTTCTCTACTTAATTTCTATTAATTTGAGTCGTACAATAATTCCTACTTTATGTTCATGAAGACAAAATGAAACTGATACCTCTTTGAAAACGGCCTTAAACTATCGTTTATATTAGTCATAGCATCCTGCCGAAAGACATTAACGCACACAACATACAAATCAGCAATATTCCATTGCTCCGCCCCCTCTACCAATCTTCTCGCGAATTCTTCTCTATTCTTCTTTTGTATGTATGTTGATTAATGGCTACCATGTAGACCCCACTTACTAACAAAATTATCACTTGACATCTTGTTGCCAATGATTCTGTCAAAGTTCGCCGTCTGTCTGTTGGACTAGAACGACGAACGACAATCATCTCAATATCACGTTTCTGACAACAGATGTTTTGCTGTTAAACCTCGAAAATTGCCTCGTCCTTTTGCTATCAGTCAACCAATTGCCAGTCAGCTAACACAGACACGGCACAAAATCCCGGCGAGACAAGTGGGACCACATATGGCTGTCGCTGGTTCTTTTTCTCCTGTTGTCAGGGATAGTAGGAGCGCGGGAAGGCTGAATCAACTACATGCGTCCATGTAGTAGTCTACGTGTGTCTGAGAGATAAATAAAGGCAAATAGCAAGTAAGCTGGTCGCGTCCCGTTCGCAACTACCGTTGCACGAAGCTGCTGAAGAAAGGTAGCTGTCTGCTGTTTGTGCGAAAACGTAATAGGGAAGTTGTCGAAGAAAAATCTTCATTCGTCCCACCTGCTCAGCCAGGTTATTCCTCTTCTTTTTCATTGTCACCACCGTTGCCTTCGTCCCCTTCAAAACTTCATTGCTCACTTTTATCGCGATCCCCTGTTGTTCCGATTTGCATCGGAACCGCGTCATCCTGCAACTAACTAAAACGTTTCTTTCTTCTGCCATAACACGAAAGATGGGAAGAGCGACTATCGAACAGCAGAAAAAGCAGATTGCTGTCAACGTGTGGACGTGTACGTGTAGCGATGGTAGAACCTCAGCACGGTTTTTAGTTGCGGGCACCAGAAAGAAGGCTACTGCCAGATTCACCGTCCTAACGAAAACTTCACTCCTAATAGCTCTATAGATAACGACAAGAATCGTCCGCCCCCATGCTCGTAAGAAGATGTAATGATAAAAGAAGATCTTTGGCCGACGGCAGATATGGCGTCAGCTGCCGCCGCTCTAGCTCTAGTGATTTGAACACGTCACGCGCTTACTAGCGTCACAGCCCTGGGCAGGACCCTCAATGTGTAATGGTGACAACGATAGCGATATGTCCCACAGACAGCAGCGATTCGTTGGCTGGCCATCCTTCTCTCAGCTCGTTCGTTCGATCGTGAGTTTGCCATCGCTAAGGTCCTGCAGACTCATGTTGCGCAGTCGGCTAATGAGTTTCGACATCAATTCCTGCCGATGTAGCTACGTCTGCGATTCCGCCAATCGTCGGCGAATTCCCAAACACAAAGCGGGCAGGCTACCGGAATACTGTGGATCGCAGACCGTCCTTTGCCCAAGCGAATGAAAGGCCCACAAAATTGACTTTTCAACAGTCAACAATAAATATGGCGAATAGAGGATGTATATTTTGTTGACGGCAGGATGGGATCTTTGGACTCAACTCTGCACTAGTTTCTGTTGTAGTGTAATAGGTACATGCCTAGATTTAATTGCAGTACTAATAATACATACATACATGCGTTAAACGGACACATACAGTAGAATTAGCCAGAACAGAGAACGTTCTCATACGACGACAATGTCTGTCATGATTTTCTTTTCTTTCCACTTTAAGGTAAAAATAGGCAAAAGAAAAAATGAAGTCACCATTTTAAAATCTGCTACGAAAGTACTATTATACTATATAATCATATTCGTATATAGTGTTCAAAACGTTTGTATCTGTATCTATATAGGAACTTGTCAAGGTGCAACAAACCCAGAATGCAAAGCTGCCAGTGTTATGTAACTATTGACTATGAAATAAGTTTACAAAGGTCATTTTAAAGCAAAAACGCAGCGGTTTCTCATCTAGAAGAAGTCAAATCTCGCTGAGCAGTACGACTTTTCTCGTCGAAAATGTAACCTGTTAATGTCGTTTAGTATTCATAGTAATAAAGGTCGTCGTAGAAAGCAGGAGGGCATACCAACCAGCAAGCATGCCGCCATACGAACAGTTTTGTTCATTATCGAATAATTGAAAAAAAAAGTAACTTACACTACCGAAAGCGAGATTTACGTATCTCTAGGTTTAATTAGAAGCTTAAAGGTTAAACATTTCGACAAGATCACCACACAGCTAACGTCGACATAAGCAAAAGTACATGCTGCCCCGTACGAATCCCTAAGGAAAAGTAACCTCGTCTACTACTGCGCTTCTTTTGAATCCCAGTAGCCCTTTTAAACCCAATGTCCTCTAGCCAGAATTTGGTGAAGTATTTGTACAGCAGATAAACTAAAAGGTTAGAGCGAATTCCCTTCTGGGTCCGAATGTTAGCAACTTATTTGCATCATTTCACTGTTGAAACCGTTTGAGTTAGTCACCAACAAGCCGAAAGGTCAGTTTTGTCACGAAGGCACTTTTCCCAATTAGACCGAAGTTGTTACTATTAACGCGCACCATCGCCTGCGTAAGCGTCTATCAGTGAACAAAAAAGTCTGTCATCGGCACACCATGCAACGACAGCACAGCGTTGATCTCCATAGACGTTGGTTTGGAAATTTCTCTACGAATCTCCTGCTATTTCCGAGGTCCCGGCACTATTCAGTGAAATTTACCTTGAGTATTTTTATCTTCTCATTTCCTGATTTATTACCAATGTTCAGACTTAAGGTCACAAAGGCGACAGATAGTGTTTCAGAGCAGGTTTACAGTGGCCTCCGATATGGTGGGTGGGCCGCGATTACTGCAAAAAGTCTGTACTTCATTAGATTTTGTAATTGTCAGTAGTCAAGGACATTATCAAGTAGTGGCTGTTACTAAGGGGTACTATTCACGCCTATAAATTCAGGCCTTAGCGGGCCAATTGGGTAAGGCAGCTAACAACATATTTTCCCCTACTCTATACTTTTGATTCTAGGTAGACAAAAGAATTTCATATTGATACAATACAGGGTATACAACGTATTTTCCATGGATAATTCGGTCTGCCTTTGCAATATAACATGCTATCTTTGTGATCTTGCACCCGTGCGATACAACTGGAGAATATCCGGAGTAGTCTACTCAAGTAAACTGCACCTTTATAGAAAAAAAATTGCTCTTTTTTTTTAAGTATTTTGTAGGGAAGAGACATGGTGAAACTGTCGTAGGCTAGATTTTTCATTAAAGAAGGGCCGTAGGAAACGATGTAACATAATTAGCGAAGTTTTGATTTATCGCAACGTAGTAGACCAGGACAGCGAAATGATCAAGCATTAGGATCTGAATGTAGCCTTTGTTTATACTTTAATTGTATTGTTGCGCTATTACTAAAAAAGGATGCTTGATGTCATTCACTGTTGCTTCGATTTGACCTCAAACAATGAAGTGCGTAAATACGTAGATTTCACCTATATTTCGAGGTAGCTCACATATAGACGTTTGTTTGTCTCATTACGCATGTAATGTAGACTATATGTGTCGATAGCGAACCTTTGAGAACTCTAGCTATGCAAACCATGGCGTCAACAACGACGCCTGCAGGATAAAGTGGATAAAAACCGTATATATATATATATACACGGTTATATATTTAATACATACTTTGTTGTTTCACTATTGCTGCTAATAAGTTTCTGCGTAATTACTATGGGAACATATAATGAGGCACAAAGACATTTGAAAAAAGAAAGACAAACCACAGTCACAGAAAGTGGAATCATTTCAAGATTGATTTATTGCTGCATCATTCCATTACCCATTGTGGCTCTATCTGTTCCGCATAGCCGTTCGCACAATTTAGCCAAGCTGTTATGCCGTTGCTGTTGCAACATAACAGCACTATGAAACCTCGGGTTTGCCCCCCAGTCATCCCCTCCTTTGCCGCCATCGCCGAAGATTTTTCCTAATGTCGACGTAAACGAAATGCAAAACAAAACGCACCGACCGATTCCTCAGTTGGCCCTCAAACTACAGAAGCGAAAAATCTGCGTCTAACATTTATAATATTTTGACTCATTTGCCCGATAAATTAAGACGCGCTGCAGCGAACAAAAATCCCTATGGATCAAGCTACGTAAATAGCGCATTGTAACGTAATGCCAATACCTTCATGTTTTAATTATCTAGGGCTACAGTTATCGTTGAGAAAACTGCAGGCGTTTTCGACTGTTTTTGTGCGTGCCGCCTTAATGAATCTATGCAACCGATTCAGTCTATTACATTATATATGAGTGAAGAATATATTTACGTATACGTGTATATGTAAAAAAACGTGCTCGTCTCAAGTCGTCTTCTAGATGAATCACGGCTTTTTGGCGTTGTCTCGTGATGATCTCATGTTGTTCGCTGCAATTTTCTCTTGTCTAACGTTACTCCATTTGTATAATCCCTAAAAATGTGCGTTTTTTGTTAACTAGGTATTATTGTCTGCTAAATAAAATTTATGTTTAGTGTGTGAAGTGAAAAACCTCACATAAAGCAAATTCAATGTAACTCGGCGAAACTTTAATGGCTCTGTAACTTACGTTATGGGGTTATTACGAGATGGGAATAACGTATACATTGTCGCCCCTCGACGAAAAGAGGATTGTGGTTTACGCAGTGGACATATTGCCAAAGTTACGCGTAAACTAGTTGTACCCCTCTATTTTTAGTTATTTATCTGCGTTTTTGTTGTTATACGTGTTTCGGTATAGGCGTGCAGTTCTCAATCATTTATGCGTGTATTGAACGTTGCGTATTATATCTATAATAAAACCTAGATTTGTAGTACAAACAGAAACTTATTGTAACATACATATTGGTGACTTCTACAGATCGCAAGATCTACCCTTACCTGCACTTGCCTTCCGTATCCACAGGCTGTCGAAAAGGATAATCCAAAGGATTCACAAACACGGCACATCTACATTCTAGAGGTTATACAGTGTCAAACTGAATTTTGTCAGCCGGCCGGTTGTATAGACGGCGATCACACTAGCTACACACAGCACAGCGGTCACTATGAGCGAACTAATTTCTATAGTCAATAAAATAAGCAACCGTATTTTAGCTGAATAAGATATTCCTTCGATGCTTAGCCGCTAGATAACTATCATGGTCGTCATCATCATCATCATCATATGGAAAAGCATGGTCCTACGGGGCATAACTTGTGCCGTCAGTTGGTGGCTCTATTAGCAAACAGCTGTTGTTTCCATATGATGCGCATTTAGGCTCGAGTGGCCTTTGCTCATTCGAAGCTTGAAACTGAACTACCTGTGATGGAAGGCAAAAAAATATAGATTAATCACACCCTCGTAATTTTCTCTAACCATGGCTACATGTGGGGATGTTGAACGGTTGCTACTGATTGATGTCGTTGCTGATGCTTTGGTAGATACGCGGATTGGCACGATTGCGGGAACAGCCCCCAATGTTAAGACTGTATTATACCGACTGCTGAGTGGACACCTCGCGGCGCACAATCCTTCCGTCAAGACCAATTTGATCCGTTGGTCGATTAAAGGCTTAGGTTGGCTGGCTGCTATCACTTGAAGATTCGCTTCGTTTCTGATCTTGGTTTTCGTTCTATTTTCGGCCTCCGGACCCCGATCGGTCTGGCTCGTCGTCTACTGGGCGAATCGGCCAGCTAGTCGTCACTCGAGACGCCAGCAGAATGCTGCACAGCGGAAAGCATGCTCTTTACTTTAGTTGTGTATCTGTTATGTCCGATGACTATTTGCTTGTGTGTCCGTGTCTGATAGTAGGGAGCGGCCACGAGTCCTGCTTTGTTGACACCGGTTTGAGCTGCACAGTTTAGCACTTGCTGCACAGAGCTCTGACTGACACTGCCCAAACCATGATTGCTATACGCTCCGTGGCCAGCAACGGCGGTGGCGCAGCGGTGGTCGTCATCGTCGTCGTCGCTGATAGCATTGAAAGAAAGAGGGACGGCCGGAGAAATCGGAGGGGGACGCCGGTTTCGCCGCGCTGTCGCGCACCAGCCACAACGAATACACTAACAAACACACAGGCACGTGCGTGCTGTCGGCAGGTAGTCAACGATGGTTGCCAGTCGTCGCATACCGTCCGTCTCCGACGATATCTCGAAAAAGACTCGAAAAAAGTTTGGTCTCCTGATCCGCCGGAGCCAGAGATAGCGTTGGTTCCCTAGCGCGGCAGATGAAATCTTGGCCCGGAACCTGATTACAGGTTGCCCTGTAGTGAAGAACGGCGGCTACTGCACCGGGATTTCGCGACTTAAGTCTCCTCGGCCCGGACAGTGATGATGACGGCAGCGGCGACAACAGCGGTAAGGATGACAACGGCGAAGTCGATGGGCCCTCCCAGATCATCGGTTGAAGACCGAAGCCGCCAGACTGGCAGACAGATCGCCGCTTTGAAAAAAGCGAGTGAATCTGTGGGCTGTTGTGTCTCTGCTGCTTCTGCTGCAAATAAAGCACCAGTGACTACTGCCAGAACGTTGCTGAGATTGAAGGCTAATGTCGATCTCAAAGGAAAAAACTTCGCCTTGTTGCAGGGGCAGTTATACGATTAGAATACGCTACTCTTACTCAGTGGCTACGCCGGAATCAACCACCTCAAATATAGGCAATATTTTATATCGGTCGCGACTGCTGGAACAGAAGCGACGCGCATCACCGACAAAAGCAGCACAAGTATCAGTAGAAGCGGCAGTCCTAAACGACGTCAAATGGTCTTCGCGGATCGACGCTTGTAACTGTGGTGGTACAATGGCGACGGAAAGGAAGGATGCGCTTGCAGATCGCGTCGATCAGTTAGAACGATCGGGATCATGAGATGCGTCAGAGAGCAGTGACCACAACAGCAAAAATACAAAATCGTCGAAGGGATTCCCGCGAGCTGCAAATTCAGGAACGTTAAAAGTCCGAAGAACGGTAGTGGTGCTGGCGATTTTACTGTTGCTAGTCCTATGGCTTCGCCATCGGATAGATCAGACACGGTGACTGGGGGACCGACCGACTGGGCAACACGCAAGATCTGTGCGGAACGACGATATTGCTTAGGCTCTGGCAGCCAACAGATTCGGTGCGGCCAAAAGAAAAAGGGCGAACGGTGAAGGAACAGTGGCTAGTCAGCTAGGAACACAATGAGTGCCGCGCAGACAGAGGCCGACGGCAGACCGAACGGGCATGACGGTTGACTATCTCACTGCAGCCGTTGCTTGTTTGAACCGCCCGGGAGCCATGTGGCGACTGACTACCAAACACTCGTAGACTAACTGGCTTGTCCTGCTACCGCCTGACTCAAGACAAACGAAAGCCCATTGCCAAACAAGAAAACTGACAGCTACAGCAGTGAGAGAAACACCGAAAAGGATAGCAACGAAGGCTACCAAAGGAAAAGAGGATGGGAGAAAATTTCTGAGAACGATTGACTTTGAAGTCTGTACAACCTATTACTATTACAGCCAGACCGGATGACAATATAACATGCATGCGCACTCGCGGACGATAATGCCGACAGCCAGCCAGCCAGCCAGCCAGCTAGCTAGCTAGCTAGCTAGCTAGCTAGCGATTGCTGACATTTTCCGTAGTTCGGCCCCAAATAAACGGATGGACTGACGGACAGACAGACGACCCAGTCAGCGGACCGCCGAGTGACAGAGGAACCAGCTATCTTCCAACAATTACCAGAAAGTGACAGCAGCTGACCAGATGACCTGGAGAGGGCAACAGCACCCCCAAGCAGATAAATAACAACGGAAAAGACACTAGCCACTACAGTGTCTCGCATATTGTAATGCAACTATACGATCTGCTTACATTCAAAATGTAAATAGATTTTGGAGTCGAATATTACAGAGGTATAGCATAGCAGACAACAGAATATGTCAGAAATCGTTTTTGGATGGCCTAATTATTAGTGGCAGTATATGACACAGTGATAAGAACAGCCCCGGCGTCTTTAGTAGAGCTAATTGAGCTCACGGTTCCGGCCGTTGGAACAATCCTCTGACCTCACGCAGTGACTTTACAGAACGTCGGCGGACGCACCCGCAAGACGGTCATACCCCCAGTCGCTGATCTCGATGCTGTGAGTTCAGCTGACGACTTATATTGTCTAATAACATGGACGCTTGCGATTAGATCACAGATTCAAGAGCACAGCTCGTGCTCTTAAACACATCTCTTTTACTGGATGGCGAGCATTACCAAAGAAGCTATTGCAGAATCCCATTGGCAATACTCGCTAAAATCGTAAAAACCGTTGCCTGCGCCTAAATCGCTCGACACATGTACCACTGAGATAGACTTTTAATAAATAAAAAACGGGAATTTCAATAAAATATTTAATTTCAATAATCAGTCTAGTCTCAAATCGTTGACTGTTTGACCAGTTAGGCCTGTGCTATTTATAAGTAACTATAACATACTATTGATAGTCACGATCGGTGGGATGACTAACAGCGCTTACTTAGATTTTCCCTTCGTAACGGTTAATGTTTTGCCTATACGGAGCTGATTTTATAGCTTATATATATTCTATAGTATTCTATAGGAACTGCCTGAATTTCACTTAAATAGCTATAGTTCCCGCAGCTAGATAATCGTTCTAATAGCAGCGTTCGAACGGCGCTCAAGCTGGTACTGAAAGCAATAGGTCATGCGCGAATTAAACAGGCCGTCTTACAGTTATAAATCTGTTCCTCATATGAATAGAGGGCTTATAACTTTTTTGAATTATCGGCCGCAATTATTAGCTGATCCTTTTGAACAACAATCTTTAATAAATGATGTTGTTGTTCTTACATATACATAAGACGAGCGAAAATGCGAAAGCATCTTTGCGCCATCGCGTCATTCTAAGCATTAGGAAATACATAGCCCCCCTGTATCTGTTGTGTCACTTGCATTTAAAATGAGTATTCAGAGCTCTGTAAGGCTGTCTTTTTCAATATTGGGCGCGCTTAGCGCTCCTAGCTTTCGGATCCTGAGCTGGAACAAATTCGTTTCTAACTATAACGTAGAAGCGTTATTGAAGACGGAACCCTAAAAGCTTTTCAGTAGATGCTTACTTCATTCTCATTGTTGAAGTTGATTTCGTTTATTTATCGCTTCGATTCAGCAAATCGGTGGTTATATTATACAAGCCACATCTTAGCATGTTTATTACTTAGTAAAAACCAAAAAATTTGGCACTTTAGTTAGTCAGGTACGGGGCATACGGATGGAAACGTTTGAAGCGTATCAGCACAACAAATTACCATAATCAATAGAGTTACGCATTTTGTCAAGCGGGCACACTGCGTATGATGAACTGCTATGCCACTGGTTCGTGAACGCTCTCAGACATTTTGAAAATGAAAAAAAATATTTATTCTTCGCTGCTTGTCAATACAACCTATTCTCATGCATACGGTATACATATCATAATCACACGCGAGTGTATGAAGTAATTTTATGAAGCTGGCAGCTTCGCTTGTTAAGCCTCCTTCTAAAGCTTCTTTTAAGAGACTCGACCGACACGAACCCATCGATGATATGTAGTTTATCATTAACAAAATGTCCTAAATTAGTTTCCAGCCGACTATAAGTTTTTAACTTGGATATTTCATTTATCACACGTGTTCTTATGAGATCAGGATTAAAATGAAAAGGAAACCAATTTCGATCAAGGTATTGCGTGTATCGATTTCCGGTAATATTCATGTAACTTGCAGTGCGAGAAAACTATGTTTTAGCTTGATTTTTATACTGAGCTATAGGCTTCATTTTATTTAAAAGCTATCTTAATCAGCTGTAGAGTATAAAGTAGGATCTTCTCCTCAATAACCTTTGTATTAATATCCTCTACTTAAGTCCCTACAATAAAGCTGAGGTGTGCGTTAATCTAAGGCATATAAGCTTATTAGTTCCATCTGTTTTCAGCGAGTTCCTGCGAAAGATCTGAACAAAAAACAGGAGCTTAATAATTACGCATTTTGTTTCAATTCTAATGAAATTGTTACTGTATAATCGAAACTAACGGTTCAGCTAAATTAAAGATTGTGTGCGTCGAAAAATCAGATACTCCATACATTAAGATCATTCTATTTATTACTAGCTAAGCGGACATATAACAAATTAACTTCGGATAGTATAGCATTTTTTTTAAGTTCATCAAGTTAATGTTATTGAATACATTGGCTATATTCGACCCACGTTGTTGTGAACGTTGAATGACTTAGCCGCCTTTAATTTATATTGACACACTTCGTAAGTAAAAATAGTTTCTGAAGAATTGTGCACTTCCAACCCTTTCTTGCCAGTCAACCGTCGGAACTTTTCTCTTTCCTTCGGATTCGAAACCGTTTCCCTAATCAGCGTTTCTGATTTCTAGTTTGCGATGGTCTCGTGCTCAATTCCAGAAGTTAACGATGACAACTGAGATCACTATCGACGCTTCGGCGCTTTCTTATATGCAGCTTCTCTTTCCTTGCTGCGTAAACTTTTCCACTAGCAGAAGCTAGCGTTTGTCGGCGCCAAAGTGAATTCGAACACTAGGGCAAGCAAGTTGTGTTTGAGTGGTAACATAGTAATAACGACATCAATCATTCAATATTTGGAGTTTGACTTTCAGTACGTAAGCCGTTAATCACTGCTTCAGACTACTAGCCCCTTCTAGCACCGACGGAAGTATATCTACGCTCGGAATTTAGATATACTAAGTGCTCTTAAATTTAATAGACAATCACGTTAACCCTGCACACTTTCGGGGGCAACAGGACCTTCTCAGGAGGGAGGGATTTGTACGTCGGCGTACCGCTAACTTACAACCTGCCAATGTCAGCACCATATGAAAAAGGGCAAAGAAAGTAAGAATTAAATAAACAACGAGACGCACATAGCAGACAGCGCTGTTTCTTGACAAGAAATAATCTGTTGTGGGAAAGCTAAAGATAAACGGAACAAAAAATCGATTCTGTAATAGCGTAATCTGAAACATAAACAAATACAACTACTGATGAAAGAGGCGAACTGAGACACACAGCCTTTGACCTAGGCTAGCATAAGAACAAGGCCCAAACGGACGTATGGAAGATGGCATTGATATGCGAGGCGTGTATAACAAACACTATACAAACCGAGCTTATTTTACTAGACGCATGCAAGTTTGACAGATCGAGCTTTGAAGCAGTACTCAATCACTTTGAGAAGATGAAGGCTAATTTTAGTATGCCTTCGAACCATTTAGAGAAAGCTGCTACGGCAATCATTTTCCTTAGCAAGCAAGTTTAATCCCTTTGAATGAGGTTTGTCTTGTGAACCAATTTGAAATAACACAGAACTCACACAAAGAAATCGTTCGTTTTTATCTGTTCACAAAAGTCTCCAAAAAAAAATATACCTATTTTCTTAGATTTCTACGATGCTTATCGAATTGTTACCATTTATACTCGACAATAATATTCTAGCGTACTTTATTTATCACAACCAATTGGATTATTAACATTTATTACACGAAGTGAACCCAAGTAGCTTCATTCACCGTTCAATAAGGGGTTCACGCATTTTTACCCTTCAATCTGTTTAATAGCTTAATACGCTATTTATTATTAATTCGGTAGGAGTAACAAGAAAACGTAAATCCACTCAGTGCCAGACTAGCTCGTACGTGCATTGAATCGTGTTCCCAGCTTCGATAGTGTCTAAATGCCATTTTTCATTAGATGAATTCTGCAGTTAGGCGTAAAGCCAGACCAATTAAGTCGGACCTTGCTAACGTTAAAACTAGGACGTCTCTGAAGGTAAGTACCCTTAACGGAGTTCATATTAAGGCCACTCATATTAAGGATTATTGTCTGCAGATGGTCGCAACTTTTTTATATGCAAAATCATCTACGTAACGTTGATAACTCCAAACATCGATGCGAATTTCTTTGCGAAGCTACGTATACTGTTAGCGCCTTGTCACGACCTTTTAGAATCTCCGTAGTTCCCATAGTTTGAAAGAAGCTATCTTCATTACTAATGGCACCGAAGAAATCTGTAAACATGTTCAGTATGCTCAGAAGTTCAAAAGTGTGCTTATATATATATATATATATATAACAGCATTTTTATTTATCATTTATAAGTATTCGTTCGTAAGCGTTAACAAAATGTGCAGATTTTCTCATGTATTTATTCAAAAATTTTGTATTTACATGTATGAACACCGGATGACTTGTTGGGTATTATTCCAGATTATATTTTCGCCTCAGATTTGGCGTACATCATGTAATAACTAACGTAAAAAAAAGCCCAGAAGCACATTTGAGGCACACTCTGGGACCAGGGATGCTCACTATGTACAAGTAATATCTAGGCAGTAACAAGGTCAAAAAGCTTCGTTCGGTTATTGCGTAAAATCGTCAGTGGCCTCTAGCTCAGAAGCAAAGGAACGCTTCATCTCTCCATCTCTATCGCTTTCGCTCTCCGTGAAATCGGAATCTCAATGTACTCCACATACTCGGGACCTTGGATCCGTGAGGCTTTGTATCTTATTGCGCTAAAGGGACAAACACTGAGAAAATATATGGATAACATTTTCGGTTAGGAATGTAAGGTTAGCACATTCAGATCTCAAAAGACTGTTGTCAGTGAAAATTCTTATCATATAAATGCATCATATCAAACTTTTTTTTTATAGTTAAACGTTGTGCAAGTCTCGATTTTATCTTTCCTGTTGTTTGGATGTATGATACTTCCCTGCATCCCATGTCAATTTTCGCTGCATTCACTCGGCAATAACTCTCGATTTAAAGAACATCGCCATGTAAACAAATAAAAATAAAGCAATCGATATTATTTAGATACTTACCCTCTTGTCTGGTTGATGGTAATGGCTGTAATGTGTGTGGGCCTTGTTTGAGGTGAGGCGCAAATGGACGGTTTCTGTCAGGTGCAATTTCGACATTGGTTTCCCTGTTTTGATGACGAAACTGCGACTGGGGATGCAGCTGTCGGTCTTGCTGTGGTGGTTGTTGTCCCTGTTGGAACGATTGGGGTTCAACGTTTGCGGAGCTCATTTCATGGGGTTTAACCGCACTCCGCGAAGGATATTGTTGCTGTTTAACATAATTAGCAGCAATCCGTTCCATATCCTCCTTAGACAGTGCTCCAGGACGATTTGCTGGACCGTCATCAAGTGCTTCATCAGTGTAAAACATATCCGGCTCAACGGTTCCGCCATTTGTATCGAAAATCGGGCCCGGTTGACTTTCCTAAGTTTGATAAAATCACAACCCAGGACGTAATCGATCAGTTCAGATCGGGCATAAAGCTACAGAATCATTGTGATGTATTACGGTATAAAAAAAATCCGTAAGAGGCGAAAGCATTGTAAAAAATAGTTCATATCTATGAGTTTCTATTGTAAAATAATATGAAGTTCGGTTCAAAAGTGGCAGCAACTTATGCCTTTCGTGATCCTCCGTAAGTACGGTTATAGTGTCAGAGGGCTTCAGACAATACACTAGCTACACTCATACCTTCTGCCAGATAAATTTCTATTCACTTGTTGAGCGTTCATAAATAGCTGCAAAATTAAAAAGAAAAAAGCTTAAATCATCCATTACTAAGTTAATACATCCTTCAGTTTGCTAAAGACATTCACAATGTGTTAACTTTCTAATCGAAATCGTAGCATTCTTTAAGTGTTTTTTAGTCTGAAAGATTTGAGCTCAGGAAAGCATGGCCACAACCGCTTGAATGAGTCTCTAGCTAGCAATGAAACGCTTATCCTGGGTGCGACAAGATTCACTTTAGCAGCTCAAAGGTTCCTAATGTCTCCGTCTTAATGCTTTAAGGATATAACTTTTAGAGAGTACGTGAATAAATGCTGAAGTGCAACTGACCTGATCCGTGTTGCTAAATTTTTTCGAGTCGCTGTCGCGCGTCCTCACGAATGTCCGCTCTCCATAGCTCTTCGTTGTTTGTCCAACTTCTTCATCGCCGATTTGTCCTCCCACGTAGCGTGGCACGTACCCCGAACCTGACTGTAAGCGGCTGTTAAGATCGAAGGTTGTTGAAGGATTCGCACTTTCACGTATGGCAGAGAGCGGGGGCGTTGACTGGACACCGCTATCTTGAGCGAACGGCTTGTCATAGTGATCCGGTTCTTGATCTCTAACATGTGTTACTCTCGGAACGCCAAAATCGCGATTGTTCCGATAGTAATCTTGCGGCTTTGTTTTGCCGTCTTCGTCTTTGAGCTGAGCCTGCTTCGTCGCATTTGATTGCAGCTGTTGGCTTTCTGCGTTATGATCGCCTTCTTGATACTGGTGGTGGCGACCGTGAGAGTGGTCAAACACTATTTCATGGGTAGATGCGTATGCGACAGCCTCTGGATGATGAGCCATATGCGAATGATCGTAACGTCGGCGGCCAGGGACTGCTGACGCGGCTTGTCCGCGAAGATATTTCAACTCTTTAACCATACCCTGTGCCTGCGAAACTTGCCCTGAATCCGTCAAGCTTCCGTGGTCAACAACAGCTTGCCTATAATTCACGGACACTCCATGCTTTGATAAATTTTGTACGTACTTTTCAGATCCATTTGGGATGCTCTTAACATCAGTCGGAGGAACCATCAAGTACCGATTGCTCTGAGTGCTAACTTGTCCTTCTTCAGCTGCGAACTTCTGGCTGTAACTGCGGGCGGGAATTGGCTCGAACCTATTATTCCTACGAGCAGGTACTTGGGATCCAGGTTGTTCTTGTTGGTCATCTGTATGGTGCTGGGGTTCTTGTGCATGGTGTGGAACATCCGTAGAAGTGACGTGGCTGGTTTGCACGGGCTGTATCTCGGGGACTCGTCCAGTCTGAGTGTCTCTAAAATGGGGATATTCTCTCTGCTTGACTCCGGATGCAAACTGTGCGTCTGTTTGACCTTTCAGAAAAGTGTCACTATCGGAGTAGTTCGTTGACGGGGATATTGCCGGTCCTGGAGGGGGAATTGCGCGGTGATGAGAAACAAATTTTGATTGGTCAGTGGGTAATATGTGGTATGGGCGTTGTTGTTGCTGCTCTTGTTGTGGGGCAGGTCGCTGTCGAGAAGAAGGACCTCGCACGACGGTGTCACTACGCGCGTCCAATTTACCGAAACGAGACGAGTACTGGGACTGCCAATGGTATTGCCCGGGTGAATACCCTGGGTTTCTTCCAGAAGAACTTGTACATTGGACCTGAAAAGAAGAATGTAGATACCGGTGGTTGCATGAATCCTGTATGAATGATTATTTCAGTCTTACTTTAAACCCCCTTTAATGCAGAATTTAATTCTAATTTAGATTCCGTAATTTCATTGCTCTTTCAATATGCTTCGAATTGAAATGCTAATGACGTGTTATATGTTGACCGAACGGTGATGCTGTATGTCTATGCGTTAGATGGGGATGTATATCAAGTGTATTTCTACTGAACAAATGTATATTAAAAAAAATTTCTCAATGGGCGCAGTTACTGTTGTTGTTAGGAATGTAGCATATCTTTTAACGTTATTGAAGTGCCGTTTAAACAATAGTGGGAATCTCCGTTTGCTACGATCGTGAGTGCGTGCGCCCGAGAAATCTAAGCGGTGAGCGCTTCCATTACCGATATACCAGCAAATTCCAGATATCGCCAATTCTGGCGCGTACGATGCATGCTATATTCATGTTTTACGTAAGAAATCATTTTATATCTGTCATTGTTTTCAATCAGTTGCTCGTGCCTATGTCATCGAATCGTTGTGCCATCATAAAGGTCTTATCCAAATCGATCATATTCTGGAAGACTTACATTCTTTACTTATAAATAGTATTTGCGTGAATAGTTTTCAAATCTCTTTTCAAAAATTGAGATCCCGAAGCAAACAGGCTAGCCGCTACCGACAAAATGCCGTAATACAAAGTGGCGCAGAAAATACGCAGCAGATAGATATTATTTTTAATAAGAGTGATGACACATCAATTATTCATATTGTAGCCTAGGGCCGGCGAACTTACCAGCAGGCTGACACACGGGTTAGTATGATATCTACTACTGCGTACGGATTATCCGAAAATAATAGCACGCTAATTATGTAACGCGGTAAATTTCAAACGTCAATCATACTAGTTAAGTTTAGTAGGGATTATTTTTCGTCAATTGACATAAAGTGTATCGCCTATGTGGACTTCGATATATGCGGACGCAGATGTTAAGAATCACGTTTTTAGCAAACGAGACACAAAATGCTAGCGATCTCACCCCAAATGTATGAAGCAGGTTATATAAATCGTTGTTCTCAATTCAGAGATAACAAATATACCATGCTTTTCGCGGTCGTCGTGTCCATCATAACTATAATTAGTGAATATACTATACAACTGGTTCCGAACAGGTACGTTTGCGTACTTTTCAATCAGTGAATATATGACACATAGTGCCTTCTCATAGTGCAGCTCGTACTTGCCATTGCGTAAATAATGACGATATCATTTATATATATAAAGATCGCACTAATCGTCTTTGCTTCCGCGGGCTATTGGCTGTTAATGAATGGTAAAAAAGAAAAATACACTTCTTGTCTAATATTTACACTTTACCGGATGATAAAGTTGCGAGTTCCTCCTGCAGGAATAAATACCTGGTGTGCGTGGTTGCAAACTCTAAGGGTGGGATCAAAAAGTGTTCCCGGAGCGCATTGCTGTTGGAAGGCCCGGCAGTGCGCGCAATTGAAGAACGAACTGCAATCGCCAGGCACCGGAAAAAGGCCCGCTGATGCTTTACAAGGACTTCTGGCTGGGCACTGCAAGTATGTTTGATTTTAAATTTAATCCATTCGTCAATTAAGGGAATAAATAGGCAGACTGGAATTAATAATAAATAGCATTACTTACTATATATAGTGAATTACTTACATATTACACTGTTATATAACGTGTGGCTCGAGGTAGATATTTTTCTTAAGCGTAGAATCGTTATGTGTGCGTCACATCGATGGCTCCTAGTTTAGGCGCTTCTTTGAAGGGCTCCTCCTTTTAAGTACAGAAATCTAGGATTTTAGAGGGGATGAGGGGAATACAAGAGTTGAAATATGACAGGAGAGTGTCTATAATAGAAGATCAACCTTTGCGACGCTCGACTTAGGGTACCAGTGGGTGAAGTTAAACAAACAGCAAAGATAATACAAAGTACTAACATCATACGCGCAAAAGATTTGTTAAAGAAGAGCCACGGCCGGAATAACACGAACAATTCGGCATGGTATATCTGAAGTCTATACGCTACGAAATAGCGCGTAGCAAACGTACCTCTGCAATCACCATTTGTAGCAGCATCCCCAACAAGTAGATGACGCTGAAGGTTTGCATCTTGATCACTCCCCAATATAAACTCCACATAACACTTATTTTCAAATTTTATAACACATATATAAGGCACCGAAGTATCTCTGGCTCTCGAAGATGTTGCCTAAGTTGTGTGATCGCTCATAAGATCCCTCAAACAGATCGACATCCGTCCTGCGGTCGATACGACATAATAATGGTTAACTATTTAGTATGGTTTGTCGTTTGTTGGTGTACAGCCAACGGCGGAAGGGAGTCGTGTTCTGCGAACATCTGAAGAAGCCCCTAGTTGCGGCCAGTAATGCGACAGCGATCTCTTCTTGAAGATATATATATATATATGTGTATATATATTCCGTATACGGTATCCTTTCTGTGGAGCGGTCCGTCCACAGATCCTATGAGATCTCTCACGGCTAGCTTACGTCTCTCCAGTGACGATCTCTTGCCCTCTTCCTTAACACACGCGGCCACGGTAGTGATGTAGTGTTTATAGATGACCTCTACGAGCTACAATACTGTATTCCTATGTCACAATCAATGCTGTACCGTTGATTTTACCCGTCGTCCGATTGAACGTCGTCTTCGCTCGACTCGAACATCATGAAGCTAGCCACCATTTGACCTTGCACAATCCGTCATCGTTTCGCTTATTGTTGGCCTTTCCGTCATAAGTGTTTCCGGCAGTTACCCGTAAAAATGCGTTATTGTCAGAATACAAAGAGTCAGTTTAAATGAAGCTAAAAAATATAAATGTTCTACCTTAAAGTTTGTTGCCATTGACAGAATTAAATATAGCCAGCATCAAAGAGTGACACGATCAGCGGCAACTCTAGAGATTGTATTTATTGAATAAGAAAAGGAAGATAAATAATGAATGAGCAGGTGTTTTTAGAGAAAAGAACAAGCATTTTTTCGATGCCTAGAACCAGCCGTCCACTAAATTGGCCCTCATTTCCGTACCGGAATTCAGCTTTAGGTCGCTTGACAAAGGTGCACGAACGTATAGCCATTGCCAGCGATGTCGAGAAAACACTCTGCGCTTGAACGCCTGCTTACATCAGCACCATTCAGAAGAGGACTCTGACCCCGTAACGTTTTATAGGAACACTAACTATATTAGAGCCGTAATTATCTAATAAATGGCCCATGCCTCTACGAAACTATCCAATGACGACAAATAACAAGGATTCCCAACGATCTGATAGAACATCTTAACTGACACCGTAAACATTGGATATAGATTTAGTTAACTATATCGTGCGCATCGATTTAAAATTGCCGTTATCATTTTTGTTCCCTCTAAGACAGTTCGATTTTGATTCTATTCTGTTCGATATCAACTGCTACTATTTTTATGAGAACGTTTGTATAATAACTTGATACTCGCCAGGAGAGTAACAGTCGCTGCTGATGGCTAATGCTGCTGTTCCATTGTGGATACCCCGCTCGGGTAGGTGTGACAAAAGAACTTAACAAATTATTTGTTTGTTTTGAATACCTTTTTTTTTGGGGGGAGGGGGGAGGGGAGGGGATGCACGTGTTGTTTACGTTTATCGATTTGTTTACGTACTTGCGAAACTTGCCACCGCTTCCTTGACGATCACACCGACGGTCAACATTCAAACACCCCACGCGCCCAACCTATTGTGTTCCTCGTAGGACCTTCGGAACCGTGGCAAAGCGAAAACCCTATTTTATGCCTGTTTGCTTCGTTCTGTACAGTTTCGTTAGCTGCTACTACTGAAGAGGGCCGAGGCGAAAAATTTACCATACTTGTTTAATTTCAAAAAGAAGGCAGAAATACTTTTAAAAAATATTCATCTTTCTATGCCTTGTCTAATTGCCTCTGTGTTACACCAAAATACAAAGAAATCATAAACATAATTGCTAAAGATCCTCGAAGACGTTTTGGAAAAAGTAGATGGATTTTTGCAGTTATTTCATAAGCGTAAACGTTTTATCTCATATTTTATCATTTTTCTGTTTTGAAACTCCTCGTTAGCCCCTATGAAAACGGATAACAAATGTAAGTCGTTATATGCTTCGGGAAAAAAACTCGTTGGCAGGTTGTCTGACTCAGATAGCTTATCCTTCACTAAATGCAACGTCTAGAACCAGGTACTAGATGTTTAAAAAGGGAGGATATATTAGGCTACTACAAATGAATCCGGCAAACTTTAAGCTTGAACAACTTCTGAACTACACATCGCCAGCTGGTGAATACTCTAGTAAATACTTCTAAAGACTTGTAAGTGAAAACCACTTGACTTTACTCTCGAACAGTGAAGATATTTGTAACGACGTTACGCGAGAAGATCTTACACGAAGACAGAGTACGTAAACAGTGCAAATTTAAGAACAGAAATGCCAGTGTTGGGAACCAATGGGAAAATGACCGAATGTCGGGACTCGAAGGACAACATAACATTTCATTATTATATTTAATGAAATATTTATGAAACGGTAATATTTTACATTATAATAATATGACATTACCCATTATTACATCGCCGCAATCCAGAAAGGCTTTTCACGAAAGCAGAGCTTCGAGTCTAACTTCTTTGTTGGCCAAAACATGTGAGATGTTAGAAAATTGTAGTGCCGGGGGTACTGATAATGCGGAAATTGGGTAAAAAATGGCTTGTTTGCAGGTTGATTCTAGGCATGTTGGGAATGCACGTGGTATATTACGCCTCCAATTTGTAGGATTCAAAGTAAGAAAAAGATTGTCTGGAGCATATGGTTGTATATACGGTTCAGTCTTTAGCGCCAACGGGACGGGGAATAGGCGAGAGATTGGCATCGCGTGGCGGTGTCTAATAAGCTTGGACGTAAGGTGATTAGTTTATCATCAGAAGCGTTTGTGATTGCGGGGTTTTCAATGCTCTAAAAAAAGCAACTGGTCATAATAACATATCCTACAGACGATTCGCTGCGAGAAGCCATATATAGAGAAATTACAAATAAGAACGGGAACGGTTAGTATATGATTGCCCAGAAGCTGCTAAAGCGCTGGGACAAGTGCGCAAAAGATAAAAAAAAAATCAATACCTCTAACACATACTTGTTTTTAGTTCAATTTATGTAAAAATTGTTCGGCTTCAAAATCCACCGGGTTCGCTTGTAACACCCTAACAGAATAGGGAGTTCATTTGAAGTTTAAAATTAAGTTACTTTCAATAGATCTTTTGCTTCCTTAAATCGCAATAAAACCTCGGTTGGAAGGCGTTGTCGTGAGTTTGCGGCAGTTGACTTACCCTGTACCTTTACGTGATCTACTGGATGTTTAGTCGTCAAACTTTATTCGAACGAGACCAACAAACGGCCAAAAAAGAGACAAAAGCCAGTTGGAAGTAATGCCAAAGAAAAAGAAAAAAAAATCTCATGGCAGCTATGTTGCTTCGGTAGATTTTCTTTACGTTATTTATTGCTAAGCTTGTTTATTATTAATGTCGCTGTTTGTTTTTCTTAACGATTACTTGCGGGTAGCAGGCGTATATTTTGGCGGAAGATGTCCTTCGTAGAGCCTATTTCATCATGGCTAGCACCGCCTCGGACACTTTAGACAATATCGCACTTTGTCACGCAATATCTGTCAAGGATAGAACCTACTTACATTCTACGATCTCAATATTTCACAGGGTTCTACAAAAACAACGTTCTGTTCTATCCAGCAGATGATGCATCTTATCTGATCAAGGTACATAGAGTGTAAAAGCTTGTTGAATCAACGATTTTCCATTCTTTTTTTAAACGTCAGTTTTAGGGCTACGTATGGCTACGGCTAAACGTTGCGATTTTGAGACCGCTAAGTCAATACACATTCAAATTTGAAAATAAAAAATAAAATAGTTGGGAATAGGTTTCTTTTCTTTAATTAGACTTTTTATTCCGTCCCAGAATAGATCACTTTGGCTCTGCACTCTTATTCAGCCAGTTGATTCGTTTTATGCGTTCTATTATTCGTTATTATATATGCATACATCCTTTACGGCCTACCACCGAAATACATAACTTGTTTAGCTGAAACAGTTACCATCTGTTCATGTTGATTTCCGGTGCTCTATCTTGAGTGACGATAATTCTACTTGGAGATGTTGCTAACCCAGTTGAGATAAGATAGTTTCCGATTTACAACAGCCCTGATACGCCCCGTGATTTTAAGAGTGGATTACAGATTCTTACTACGGGATTACTTCCAAAACTATTCATTTCATTCAGCCTCGAATATCTATTTGCCTTCACATTATTAGGATTGTTTTGCTGGAATCGAAAGACTCATGGCTTCATCAGTGCGATGCCGCACCTGTTCGCATTATGCCCCAACTACAAATGAGTCACCGAGGTTCATAAGTTTGTCCATATTTTGCATATTATTCGTTGCTAAGATAGAAAAGGATCAATTAACTATTGTAGAATAATTTAGCAATCGTTGAAGCATCCCCAAATGTTACCCCTTTATAGCTGTATTATTTGTTGTATGTTGGAATGAACTATGTATGTTGAAATAGTAATTTTTCCGCCATAAGCCACGTCTGCGAAACAGATCATATAAGTTTTGCCCTAGTAACTTGCAGCGAAAACATCAGTATTCGTTCGTAAGACTAATCTTATATATATATATATATATATATATATATATATATAGTGCGCGCTTATAAACCAAATCTACTACATTTTTCCATCTACTACAAAGCATATTTTTAGAAGAGGAAATGGTTCAACGAGTTTTTCTTTATATGCTAAGCTGTATGTTATTCCTAACGGTCACTTTTTTCTCCACTATTACCCAAACTATAAAATTTTCAAATGATCGGAAAAAGCCCAAAAAGGCTAATCGTTAGAGCTCATTTCGATAACCCGATTGACTGAAAAACGGCCAGGAAATTTCGTATTAAAAATTTACTATTATCAAAAAAACAGCTTTTCAATTAATTTTGATGAATTTCGGGCTCTCCATTTGTATTAAACTTTTGGAGAACGGTAGTTTATCAGTTTTTTGTACTGTTGCGGCTTTATCCAACGCGGAAAACTAAAACAACAGCCACTTTTTTCTCAACGTTTGATGTCGAGCTACTATTTTCTTCCACAGCTGCTAGTTTATTTACTTCCTCATCGCATTGACACCTTCCCCATTAACAGTACTACCTTTGGATGAACGCATTAACTGACAAAAAAGGTTCAGGTTATAACCTTATATATATTATGGGGCATCGAAGTTCAAATAAACCTAGTGGTATTTTGTATACGTATGCTTTCTTGACACCGAAATAGCAGCAGTTTGGAGAGAAGAACATCAGTTGCCAACCAGGCCATCCGTAATAACTCCAACGATCCGTTATTTTTATCCGTCTCGTCAATCTTTTTTGCCCCGCATCTTAAGAACCTTTACCTCGAACCATCTACCTTTGTTTATATCCAATCTAAAAACAACTCGTAAGAAAAAATTTGAAGTTAGATGCTGTGCCCTCTCTATAAGTGTGTAATATATGTATATCGTTAGCTTGGTTCATAGAAGTTACGACTAGTGAAAGATAACCCAGAGCACTATCTAGTTACTTACGTACTGTTATAACATTAGAAACCATAGCTTAAAGCGTGAGGATAAACTTTAATTAGTAAATCAACACAAGGTCCGAATAAATATGCTTGAATGATGACGGAACAAGCACCGCGTTGATAGGGTTCAAGTAAGTACGGCCCATACGACACACCACTTGCTACTAATCTTTGTATGTTTTTTTTTAATTTTTTTTTTTATAATGTGCTTGCCAAACAAACCGGGTTATGAAATGTTTCTAACTCTAAAATAGCTCCAATTGAAATCTCTGTTGTTAGCAACAGTGTTACTTGCATGTCCAGCACGTTAGCGCGTATATTCAGTAGCGAGCTTGTATCAGGTAGTTTTTCTTCCTGATATTTCCAATCTGATAAATCCAAGGCTCTTCTAGTGGGTAAAGACAATACAAGTACTTGCCCTGGCCTATTGATTATTCTATCAGAGTGGAATACTGTTTATTTTGGATAACATTTTCTGTCTACGTTGCTTGCGAACTCTTTTCATACTTGTCTTATAAAGTCTAATAAATTGTGTGTATAAAATAGTTCATAGTATATGCATATTGAGTCTGACTAGGATACGTTGATTATATGCTAGACGGCCGGCGTAACAATGTGGAATAGAAGACCGTCTATATTAGTCTAACATGCGACAGAAACAGTATACTGAAGTGCTTCGAAAAGTCACGATATGCTATTTTTGATAGAAGCGAGGTACAATATATAAGAACATAATGCTGTTTTTATTTTACGATATATATTAACATCGATACTTTTTTTCCACTTGATACATAGAGTTTGTTTTTGTTCGATTTTTTCAAAAGCTGTAAATTACGAAGATACGATCATTTAATTTAGAAACAATTTGAATATTATAACAATACATTACCGCTTCGATTTGCTAGTCAGCGTAATTTTCGACGGTTGTAGAGAAATTAACAGAAAGCAGTCTTAATCAGGAGAAGGCATTTTTATCGTTATTATGCCGGTTTTTATCATTCGCATGATTTCATTTGACGACACGCATACGTTGTACGTGTGGTGGCCTAATAAGTATGTATAGTTTTTACAGAAGTCGGATTCCATGCTCGTTTTTATGTGTATTTTTGATGTCTACAGCAATAGCCGTTTCAGAAAGAGCGACGCTAAGGCCATGGGCGTTGAGGCCGTAAGATGGTTATTGACATCGCCAGAAGGCCGGTGCAGACTGCTAACGGGCCGGCTAGTATCTGAAGTGTAACGTGAATTGCATCCACAAGGGCACTATACAAACCGGATTCGTCGTTGCCGTAAATTTTTCCGCGGCGATCTACTAGCTTCTCGCCTGCGAGGACCTCCGAACGCAAGAGAACATAGATCAGCCCAAAGAATAGTATAAGCAGAGGCAAGTATCGAAACTCCTATGGATAAGAAGACATAGCAAAAAAGCAACGAATAAATTACCTCGTATATCATCGATAGAATTAAAAATTAACATGCTTTTTTAGTATTAAGTGATCAGAAGGTAAAGTCTGTAAACTATATAGCGTGTCCGACGGCAAACTAATATTATTAATATTCAACTAACGTCCAAAGAAAATCAGGAATAATTAATTTAGCAGGCAACTACGCTTGACATATTGTAAATATGGTGTTGTTTTTTTGTGCATAGCAGACGTTTCGTTTGTTGTCTAATCGACAATATTATAAAATATTATGGAAAATTACATTATTCAAATTTCTCAATATGTGCATGGCGTTGTGATCGATATACGGCACAGGTTAACATGCGATGCTCGTGTGTGTGTGTGTGTGTGTCTCTGTGTGTTTTTCGAAATTACGCTTTCTACGATGGTTGCACGAAAAATTATGTTTACATCTGTCCTTTTTTTCAGATTCTTTGGGCTTTGGGCAGGACGTCAATTTGTTCTCCGCTTATTTTGCGAATCGAAAACGTAGAATATGCAGTCTATGAATTAGTGGGGCCTGACTTGGGTACATTACCTGGTAGAGCCGACACCATAACAGAGTTATTATCATGGTTGAGAACGCAATCAATGGCCGCACCGAACGGACCAAAACTGGCGACAATGAAATCCATGGTATTACAAATGAAGCACCCGAAATGCACATACAGCAGAAGAACGCAAAACGTAACGCTGGGATATCGCTAAGCTTCGACTGTTCCAGTCCGAAGCTTAGGACCTGTTAGGACAAACATAAGGTAGTAGTAATGACCTATAAAACTTTTGAATGGGTTTTTTTTTTCTGTAGTACAGGTTATTTAGCATCTGCTTATTGCTATCGTACAACATTATGCAGTACATGTTAGAAATAATCTCTGAAGGCCATATGTCAACTACATAATATAAGAAAGGCTAAATTTTTGCTACCTGGAACACAAAAATGACCGCCAGGCCTGTGAGGTTCACAACGAGAATGACTACGTTGAGTGGAAAGTGATCGTGATAAAAGGTAGTTGAGACAGTTAGGACCGAGGTCATTACGAAATATATCGTGGACGGCAGAAGATACTGTGCGGACAGAGTGAATTGATCTTCAGCGTTGGTGCTTCCCTCAATAATCAGCAGTGTCCCTGTTAAACAGGTTAGATACTGATCTAAGTATGAGCGAGACGTTAGATGCTAACAAATAATCAAACGAATATAATAAAACATAGTACACAAAAAATGCTTAGCTTACCTCGTAATAAGCTCGTTTTAAACTTTTTTTTTTTTGGAAGCAGTAATATAATGGGTTGTAAAGCAGTATCCTATTTTTTTTTTTTTTAATACTGGCTGGATTATGACGCAGTGTTGAAAATCTAATTTTCGCCTGGTTACTTTCAATGGTACAAATGCGTGAATCTATTTGACCCAAAATATGGCCTCTCTTTCTCATTCCGTTAGGTGGGCTTAATGGGTTATGATAATCTATGGTGTACTCACCGCAAACAGAACCCGTCTGGAGCACAAACACTAAAAACACGTAGCCCATTATATAGTTGACGTGCTGTGCCTTTACGAAATCCGGCACAGGTTCAATCTTTTTGTTTAAGTCTACTTGATCACTAGCTGCTTCTTTGAGTTTCTTTAATAGCTCGCCATACGTCTCTACATTGGGAGCTTCTGTAGCAACGGGCGCCATTTTACAAGCTAACTGATTCACTAATCCCCAGACAATGAAATAACGACGATACCTGATTTTGGCTTACGGACACAAACCCCCCTGCTTCTAGTTTGTTGATACGCGTCAATTACAATCGCATCAGACGCTTTAGCTATAAATCTCACGGAGGTCGTCCAGTCTCAAGATCAATCACCCAAGTAGCAGGCAGGTTCTGAGGTAAATGTAAAAGCTGATCTTGAGACTAACGGTCAAGCAAGAGGAATGGCTTTTGTACTCGAAAAGACCATCCGCCTTGTCGCCACCCGCATTATGACCAATTTGAAAAAAAAAAAACAGCTACAAGTTTATACAGCCGAAAGGAAACGATACACAGCGTGCGAGGCAACGATCGTTCGCCTCTTGCCTTTACTCTCTTCACCATACAGTCATGCTTGTGAGAACGGCTTCACCAATGTACGCTCACGTGAACTTCTACGGACGGTGAATGATGAACAAATTCATCATCATTCGCACACCCGGTCAGCAGATGACTATGCCTCTCATTATTAGTTAGTCAATGCGTTTCTCTCAATAGCGAAAGTAACAAAAAATTTATCGTATTTTTGGATGTAAATTTTCGCTCGTTGTTTACATCGTGCGTGATACTGTAGTGGGTTAAGGCGTCACAAGTAACGCTGCTAAAAATTTAACGATAACTTTCCCATTGTAATGAAAGCAGTTTTATGATGTAGGGGAAATGGCTAAAACGCTATATGTAGTTCATTGTTGATAGGTGATGAACGTGGTTCTTGCTGTACTAACACCGATACTGAAGTTTGCTTTTTGTCAATTGAATGCAGCCTATCTTCATTCTAGTTCTGGAAAACTATACCTGGAAAACTGGGTAATTTAGCAATTAAAAAGTGGCCGATTAGCCTATGCTTAATTTCTGAGACAGTTTAGAAACAACTGTTGTCGTACGGATAGCTCCCTTAATGCGGCGTAATTTGTCTGAGCTATTAAGGCCAATAGTAGGCAGTCTGTCCTACGCAGTTTGTCGATGAGAATTATCTGTGCTACCCGAACGAGACTGCACAGCTTTTCCTCATCTCTATCCGTATTACTGAGCTACATTGATCCTATTAGCGATACGATTTCATGTATCGCCATAGACGTTTTATATAGCTGCTGCGATTATGAAGGTATAAGTTTTTGTTTGTGTGCTCTGCTCCGTTTGGCGCTGCAAACGCTGTGATTTGGAGTGCTGCCCGGCGAGAAAACGTACACATTCATATTTTACACGATTAATTTTACTTAAAAAATGTTATTAGTGCGCTATTCCCAAATTTTAATAGTATGGTTAAAGTCGTGTTAGGGGTAGCTAAAAGACACATAACGTAGTTAAACATTTAGATGATGGGTACTGATTATGTCTTCTGTGTCACCGGAGAGATGATCATCTTCGAGCTCGGCAACAGTTGTCAATGGTGAGCCAACAATGAAATAGAGTTGCAAATAGGAAATACAGCGTCGAAATGGGAAAACTAAAGAAACGAGGCTTATTCATACGATTGATTCATTGCCGATTGGTGGTCCATTAAATGATAAATAACTTTCAGAGTATGCCACACTGCCCACGTCCTGGTTAAATGTAAGAAAACGTAATTCATCATTATAACCCTAGGTGAGCCTTTTATAATAAATACACATTATAATCACATAGACTGTAAAAACATTTGTTTTTAGAGCCTAAACTTGTTTAGAACTATGGCCCGATACACAGACTTCAAATATTGCCGGTGTTTTCCTTACTCTTTCGCTTCGCATTGGGCCTTGCCTGTGATGGTCGTACTACCAACCACATGCTGGTCCTGCGTCAATTGGCTCTTCCTCACGGCACAGCGCTCTCTCATCCTTTCCCCCTATTCCTAAGCATCCACCAGATCCATGAGGCCCCGTCCTGTCCAGTCAGGACCAAGCGACATCGGCTTGATCCAAAGAATCTATAAACACTATTTCCATTAGTGCCTAGCGTTCGTTTGACTTCGCCCTACTCCCAAGATTATGGCAGTAGTCGGGGATATGCTTGTATCTGGCTGACAAAATGTTTTCAAATAAAGAGAGTGTTCTGGCTTCGAAAGGTTTTCCCGAGCCCTTTTTCTCTCTCTTTTTCTATCTATCTCTTACTTTCTCTCTGCTTTTCTGCATGCTCCCAGTCAGTAGTTGCTAGCCAGTTGTTCGGGTCGCTCATGCAGATCTGGCTGGTGGCCGACAGCTGATTTAGCTTATCGTGGGGGCCTCGGGTGTAGTTCGTCGTGCCATTCGTGTAAATATCCTCGCACCTCCACACGTCACCACAATGCAACTTGTTCTCGATTTGGCAATGTGTGCGTATTCTGCGTCCAAATAGTGAGATACTACGGCAAAGAGTGCTAGAAATCAACATCTCATCGATGCCGGAATGTATTGCAAGGATGACATTAGTCTACAATATCGACCAGCTCGTTGTTAGTCGTCAGGGCAGCGCATGCCTTCTAAGGATATAGGTTAGAAAATCGAATTTACCCTGTTATGCTTTAGTAATGAATATAAATTTATCAATATGAAACCTAACACTTTTTTTTATCTTTGTGGGTGTTTTTTTTGCAATTGACCTAAGCGCACTGTGTAGGAATTATTACTATAGGATGTGTGAATTCTCTATAGGATTGTACTACTGTGAAATATAAATTCCTTCAGCCTGCACCTAATAATGTTCGGGCAAATCAGTTAATACCGGAGCTAATTTATGGACGTATTCGTAAATAGGACACTTAGGGCAATTTCGCTGTCAGGCAAACATAAGAGTTCTATTTGCCTGACAGCGAAATTAAGTAAAGCGTGTACAAATTACAAGCTTTTTCAAACTTTATTATACAAATTATAAAACTTTTCTTATATAATTATAAAATAATAAAGAAGACCTTTATGGTTTAAGATAATTATAGGTCTCCAATGAGATTATTCACGTTACACATTATTGTCATACATGTAACCACTTACCTGAATAAAATAATCGATCTTTTACGCTAATTTGGCAAATAAAATGCAATTTTCCGTAGACTTCGTTCCCCTAGCCTAGGAAATAACAAGCATGAGCGTTGGTGATACGTACAGCGTTAGCTTGCGGAATACAGCAGTTTGCTTCCATTGATTTACGCCGTCCAGAGATGTCAGTCAGAGGCCGTAGCGCGGGAGATCGACTGCTTGATTCACTCGCTGAAAACTATGAACAGCGGCTTGCACAATTACAGAATGTTATTCAAGACCTTACAGACCGCCTCGAAACGTCTTCACAGTAAGTGACACCGGTGACTTGGTAGGTGCAGGCTCAGTAGTAACTGCATAAGTTCTAACGCACTTAGCTTCATTTCATCAAGCACAATAATTACTTTTCGACGACGCATAACGTACTTTTCCTAGTTAAGCATCCTACTTCGATTTAACAGGGAGTCCGTGGCCAGCAGCGGTGGAGGCGGCACCGACATGCCCCTTAGCCAATGTTCCAGCAACGAAAATTTAGCAACCGAACTTTCGCAATTTAGCCCACCCCGGTTCGCGTCAAATGAGGTAACTACGAATTAGCGTTCTCTATGTATATCTATATGAAGATAATTATTGATTGAAAAACGCCTGCTGAAGCTGCCTTTAGTTTCAGCATAAGCTGTATCGTGATATTCTTTTGAACATTTCAGGACCTCAGCGCAAGGCTGGACTCAACCTCAAAAGAAGACGCGAGTGGAGCACCATCGAGCGATGAATCTGCTAATAACGAAAAACAGAAAAATAACGGTGCCAATACGGTAACGTACCTCACTAATTTTGATGGATTTGATTAAAAGCTGCACTTGAATTACCCGAACTAATTAAAGCCATGTAAATAATCGTATTTCAGATCACACGTGTACCTTCCTTTTGTGATGAAGCTCAATTACTTCTCGAGGCCGAACGTCTGCGAGCTCAGGTCGACAATCTCTCCTGCCAAAAGGTGTTGCCACATACTGGTTCCGATCTCAATATACAATGCAAGTCGAACAAACCTAATTACAACTATGTAGGATATGAATTGTATGTTCTTTACGCTCGCTACCGGCTCGACTAAGCGCCGTTATATGGCACCGCTGTCATATAGAAGACAGGGACACCCATCAAAGGAGGTGGCCCCAGTGATCTTACGCTATTCCATAACAATTTCGATTTGCTTGTTTTAATAGCTCACCCTCGAAGCAAATCTGGAAGAAAGTCAGAGCTACTGTGAGCAGCTTACCATCCTTTTAGGCCGCTACATCTCTAATTATCACCTTCTCAAGGTGAAACGAAACATTTACTCATCACATCAATAATAAATGCAATTATATAACACTTAAAATAACAAATTAATAAGGAAAGGCGAATAAGAATGAGAAAATCAAATCGAAAACATTTCTCTATAATTTAGTAAATCTAATCCCGCTCGAAACGAATCATACGGACGAGGTACCGAGGGACTGACTAACGATTTACAATGTTCGCTTGATGGCGTCGCTTCCGGTTAGACGCTGCTGGATGAAGAGCAGCGTTTGCTGGCGGCTACAGAGCAGCTCGTAGCTGTTGTTCGATTGGAAAAGCAAGAAGTGATGACTAATGCGCGCCTATCAGCTCCTTCGAGCCTTACAACGGCTTTACCAGCTCGTGAACGCCAACAAGTGGCCAAACTTAAAGCAGCCCTTGACAAGTTACAGGTAACTAATAGCGGCAGTGAAAGATCTGAAATGGTAGATCAAGGTAGCTAGAAATCAAAATTCAAAACTTCTATCGATGACCTACTTGAAGACGACGACGACGACGACGTCGTGCCTTTAAATATAGCCTATTATCGAGTGTTACTATATGTACAACAGGCGTATCAGATCGTATCAGCAGATAACAAGCCTACTTTATAACTCGTCCTGTTTGTACACGGCCAGGAAAAGAAACGCAGCATGGCCAATGAAGTTGCAAAGTTGGTTAATGGCAAAATCCCAAAGGAAAACGGACAGGTCTTCGAGGGTCGTTTCAATGGCGTTAGTACTAGCAATGGCACCAGTATAGCTAAAAACTATGGGAGAGCTGATCCACGCGGGCCCAGCGGACTGCCAAGACTCTCCAGGGAACTAACCACCAATCGGGTGAGTAACCCGAAGCAAAATTAAGTATCGCATGATCTAAGTCGAGAAATAGACCCGCTTGGTCATAGACGACACTGAGTGTTTTCAACGATATTTCGATATCTAAACGAGCATAAACGAGTATATCGTTCACATTGAATTTCTATCCGATCCAAGGTGTAGTGCTCGGTCATCGAGCACGAGACCGGTAAAATGTACTCTTCAACCACATGTGAATCAGCCACAATTTAGGTGTATTACTGTAGAACGGGACGTTTCTAAGAAAACCTGCATATTTTAGGCAAATGTATAGCTTGCCTCGTATGGGAAATAAGCCATTGCGACTACTGTGAGTTTGACACAGACCGCAATAGCTGGCAGTAGGCTTATTTTTGTATTCCTGAGCCATGAACCACTCACTGACATTTGAATACTTTAGTGTGGACCGTATAACAAATAATTTGGCAATGCTTATAGGTATTAAGCCAACCGATAACAGACGTTTGTGCCTCGAATTATTAGAATCGATGAGTATCACATACATTGAACGTAATAGTTATGTTTGAATACCTGAGCCGGAGCAATGGGGCTACCAGTGAGCAATTGTTGTAACAACAATAACAATGTCTGAAACGTTAGAGTGAATATGATCTCTGTCATTACTTATGTACTCATACTAATGCAACAACATACTAAACCGCTAACACTTTAGTCGACAATTAATCAATCGACACTTTTACCCTTTTCCAGGCAAAGATGGAAAGTCTTAGCGGCCACACGAAAGGGAAGGACAGGTCCGATGAATGCGGTCCGGCGCAACCTCAGATATCCTTCGAGGAAGCCGAAAGCACCCTCATCAACTTCGTACATGATCTCCGTGCTAAGTGTAGTACACTTCGTATTGCATTACCCAGCGTCGACGCCGGTATAGAAGCAACGCGTCTTTGTTAAATCACTACGAGCTGCTTGACATCGTACCTTGTAAAAACCGATTGCGGACCCCGTTCAGTAGAGTGGACCGCTGAAAAAAATGTTAAACGTCGTGTCGTTTCGTGCAACATGTCGAAATAGATTATGGAAAAGTCAAAAATATTCTAGGGGTCAATCGTGATAATATTACCACTTTTTGTTTATGTTGATTCCAAGCAGAAGTTCTTCCGGAGGTGACATTTAGCCGAACTGGTGGTTCTGGTCAGAATGAAATGACGTCGAAGGAGGACGCAAGTCCACATGGAACAGCTCCATCGTCGGAAGCAGCTTTAACGGTGCAGTCGTTAGAAGCTCTGGTCAATGCACAGGAACTCTTTCAGCTCAGGGAACAAGTGGCTTCATTGAAACTGACTGGATACCTCCAAGCCAGGGAAACCCGATTCTTTCAGGTACGGTAGTCATTAGGAGGAACCCTGTGTGGATGCTCGAGCATTTTTTGACGGACACTGCAGTCGGCTTGAAGTGAACTATAAACGTTGTTTAGATATCGTGCTTCATAGATGTACATCAGGCAGGGTCATCATGAGATTTTCCCTGACAGAAGAAAATGCTATTCCGTTTTGTACAGTCTGAACTGACGTCTAAAGAAGCGATGGTGGACACACTTCAAGAACAGAACGAGCTTCTTTCGAGAGAATGCCAACGTTTGGAGCTTGCCCTTCAACGAGCAGCTTGCCACGAAGTGAGTTTTTGCTAACCGAACGCGTCGTGTCATTACGTATTAACTCACCTATATTACTAGCTAATGAAATGACGTGAAGTAATCGACAGACGTTCCAAGGCGCTCGAGTAACATTCATGAGGTGTCTATTAAATATTAGCAAAGTATTTCCTGGCGTATTCTGATTTGTTTACGTGTTGTTCATTAGCCACCAGTCCACAGTGGCTGCGGGGAAGCGTTATCGTGTCCAGTCACAGAAAATAGGCTCCGTCGCGAGAAATTTCTCAAAAGGCGAGTCGACAATCTAACTGAGGTGAGAAAAGGCCTTTTCAGCATGCGAGTCTATGTATTTCAAAATTTGGGCCCCAGCATTGAAGCGATACAAGTTACACAAGTAGGAGTTCGTCATATAAAGTCAATAAAATTAATGACATTCCCATCCGGGCTGGTTCGCAACTTAATTCTTCGGTGTAAGTAGGTGTCCGAAAATCTCAACAAGCAGTGCGCCGCTTATCGTCAGTTAATCCGGCAACTTCAACGAGACAACGTCTCACTTCTTAGACGCTACGAGCGGGTCAAGCGCAAGAAGGTTTGACACTTTCCCCTTCCTTGTATTCTTTGATAAAGGCAACATGTATGACATCCTGCTGTGACCAATATACATATCAATGGTTTTCTTAATACATACATATCGTAGTATGCGGTTGACAATATAATTTTACTGTTGTCAATGTCAAACTTTTTTATGTGAGAAATCTCCTTTAACTATTGTATAAACATAATATATTACTATTACAGTACAGTAATAGTGCTATACTTCGATAACTTAATTATTTCAGATGCGTCCTCAAGAAAACATTGAAGATGTGGTCGTCATCAACGTCAGCGTGGACGAAGCAGAAAGTACGAAAGAGCCGCAACCAGCCAACGACAAAATCACAGAACGTCACGAAATCATCCCTCGAAGTCCTGTTTGTTAAGACGAACTTTTCCGTCCTGCCCGTTTTTATGGTTTTGTGGCACTTGGTTTTGTGGTTGTTGGCAGAGCAAGTATAAAGAACACGAGCGCAAATGTTTATGAAAGATTAGAGTTTTTTTTTTTCGTCTGATACGATGCACATCATTGAAAGACCGTCCGGCCATTTTTTTTTTAATTTTAAGGCTCCATCAATGCTGCAAAGCCAGTGCTCCTCTGTATTATAGCTGCGCATAATAACGCTTCTTCGGAACCGTCCTACTGATTATATACTGTTCGCAATTATCTATCAGTATATGGCTGTTCATTAAGTACACGTCTCAGCATCTGTCCCCGCATTGATCAGATACTCCATTTCGAATATACTTAATTCATCAGCATCACTGCGACATCTCTCCCGTAAAACGCATACACTTTATGCTGGTAGAATGATGAATTCGAGCCCGAAAGCCTTTTGCGTGGCAGCTCTTAGGCAATGTTTGTATCGCTAAACATCAGCGAATCAAATTCGCCATTATCTAGGAAATTCCGTCCTTATCTTAATGATCGACAGATAACTGTTTAGTTTATAGGACGTGTCGCTGACAGCGATAAACTGTTGTATATTTGCGATTTTATGTGTATTGGCATAATCCTACACTGCCTGCGTGATAGATACTGATACTGAGACAAGCATGTCCTAACCGATTCGCTCAGTCAAATGCATTCTCGAGAGTGTTTTTTTTTCTAAACAACCATTGCTTCGCTACCTATAATTCTCAAAGTGAGTGCAATCGCCTAGACACTGTGATAAACTGTAAAACGCCAGAATCTTAGAGAATCTAGAGGTGAAATTAGTCTGACGATAGACAACTTTCAAACTGTTCGAATAAATGTTTCGACCCTTACGTTCGGCTCCGCCGTTTGGCTCTACTTCACACGGTTGGCTTTCAGCACGAAGCGAAACGTGCCAACAACGGTGGGATTCGAACCTGTGCTGTCCATACGTGTTTCTAATTTTACCAGGCAAACACGTTATCTAGCAAGCTGTCACAGAGATAAGTTTCTAACCAGATCATAGTTAACACACATGTATCCCCACGTGGAATACTATAAAGAGAATGAAAAAGCATTACAGCTCATTTATGTAAAATGTCGTACTAAAAAAAGCTAATCTATTGCCTCTATATCGGAACTTAGATCCGCAAGATCGCAAACGAGCCGACTGTAATCAGGAAAGCTATGAGGAGTCAACATATAATACATACTCCACCATGCGCAATCTAAATTGATAGAGACTAACTCACTGGTTCAATGCTGAGCACCTGAATACTAACACGGAGTGAGATATGTCACCAAAGCTACTGTCAACAGTCTCTGAGGTCCATGACATGTTTTGATTTTTCCCACTGACTATATTCATGGCCAATAAGTCGTTTTGTGAGATAGTCCATGAATGCGACCTGATAACTCGTTTTCGTAATTTCCAATGCCAGCTCATTGAGTGGCGGCTTGAGCACGTACTTGAGCACGGTCCGTTTCTGGGCTTTGCTTTTAGATGAAACTGCGAAATCGGCAAGCTATTTATATGAGAAGAAAAAAAATTCTTCGTACTGCCTAACAATAATGATCGCATCAAAAGAGTAAGGAAGTATAGTTGTCGCACGACCAAGTCATGTTATTCACAGCGACTACCTAACCTAATGGCCAGCTCGTACAGCTGCATCGAACGGACGACTAATCCCTTAAATACGAGCAACAATAGGAGTTGAATGAACTACGACAGGCGAAATTGCATTTAAGTGGTGGCATCACTACATTTCCTCTATTGATAATAGATAATGCATTGTTAGCTAAAAATCTATCACTTTCTGTTGTTTACAATAAAACACCGTAGCAATAAATCTCAGTACAGTAGCTAATTACAGCCGTGTGATTTGCCATCGAGGTGGCTGCGTGCAGCGCACTCTAACGCGACTTTCATAAAAAAAACACTGAAGTGCAAAAAATGCCGATAGTGCTGCTCGACGTACTTCTACAACATTCGTATTATATAGAGGCGATCTGTTAACAAGCCTCTCTACCAGAAAATGGAGAGGGAACAAAGAGGGAAAGCGCGAATTTAGGGACAACTAGATCGAGCAGCTTCAATATGTATCTTGCTATATTTTTTCTAGCTTCTCCATGTATGTATATATATATATATATATATATATATATATATACACTTATATGGAGCATAAATCTATACTTCTACATTTAAACATCCCTAGTCTTTCTTGTTCATTTCTGTCTCATTCCCTGTTATATATGTCACAGACGGTATAGGTAGCAAATAGCGACCCAATGTTTATAACATTATAAACATTCTGACAGACGCAAATATGTAAGCACTTAATTCCTAAGTAGTTATCCATCTCGAGTGTCTACTTATTGCCAGACTGTTCTTATCGCTGGAATCTCTAGCTGATCGGTTAATTACAGATTCTTGATCAAAATATATATAATAGGAGTAATCTCTATCTAAAAACGTAGGCTAGTCGTGGGTATTAGTTGCTTATACAATTGACATAACCATGTCGAGCAAGGTCAAATAAATTTTGAACTAATCACAAATTTCTAGATAGAATAAGCATAATGTATAGTAGAACAGCTCAAAGCAGAAAAACGAATAGAAAGAAAGCTTATAAAAACAAACAAATAAACACACATTTGCATATAGTTATTCAATTTTTTTCCAGTATGTAATTTATTGAAAACGATAGGCGCTAAGCCACATTGTATTTAATATATATAGTCTTAGTCGTGATTTCGTAATACATGACGCCATCAGCGGCTCATAAACAATAATATAAGACATTTTTTCTGCCCGCTTTTTGCCACTCGTAAGCATAAACTATGTTCTGATTCCTTACAGAAAAATGCACAGTCTCCTTTACACAAGCTTCGATGTGCCCTCAGGCTACTCTAACTTGCCACAGTCACTCGATACTCAAACTCAGATCAGATATATATAAGTGTGTAAAGTAGTCCTAAAGAGCAAATACAATACCTACTACCCTCCACACACACGCACAAAACGTTAATAATCTAAAAATTTCGTCTCTCTATACCAATTCCGAATTTTCTGTAGTATATAATGCGATGAAATTACTATTTATCATTTCCAGATATTACTAGCTACTTAGTAAGAAAACTATTTAAAAGCTCAACTATTTCCGTGGCAGCTGTGTGAAATTTTCCATTTGTTCATAACATACATGAGAACAAAATGAAAAATTATTTCTATAGCTTCACTGTTTACTAGTACTTCGGCAGTAAAAAAACACGTGAAGGGTTAAGTATTACATTAGAATTTTTGAACGAAACGCTCCAAAACCTGCGGAAGACGATTATGGCGGAACGATTTCTCGTCTGCTTTGAGAAAAAAAAAATGGAACGTTTTGTTCTATTAGTGATCTCGTAATAACACTGCAGTTACGTGTAGGCCTGTACATGACTTCTCTCTGCTTGAATATATCCAACGAATTCTTGGCTTAGATTATAAATTAATTTGAAAACACTAATACTTCGAAAATGGAAACACCCGTTCATCTGGCGGTGTAATATAACATCTGTTTATTTTTAATTCAGTCACAAGTCGAGAACAACTTACTTAATAACTATTAAAAGGCAGTCAGCATGATTATTGGTAATTGGCTGACACTAAATCTGCTGTTTCTGCGTCTGTTAGAGAAAAAAAAAAAGTCTTTTACTACTACTACTACAGTGAAGCAAACTAATGCCCACAGCTAATGGTCATCGTCCCGCTGTTTCAATAGACCCTGTCTCACAGACCCTCTAGTAGAACATGAGCTCTCTTCGTTAAAAGGTAAGTCAGTAAAAGCAAACTCTTGCTACAGGAAAAAGTGAGACCGCGCTTTACCTACATTGTATTGAAACAATATTCCCTCAATGAAGCTATCATCCGCTACAAAGTATATAGGCACCGCCAGTCTTAATACATATATTAAGGTTTAGATCATGTACCTATATAATGGTCATGAAAGAGTTTTGCAGTAATAGTAATGGCTGGACACAAAACACAAGTGTTTGTTTGTTACAAAATAATAAAAATAAATATCCGACCAAAGCCGAAGCGCAGCTTTGTAATTAAAGTAGCCAAATCGTCAGCGTTACGGCCCGTGCTTCTCTAACGCCGCAGGTCCAACTCAGTATTGTTCTTTGTTTTTTCACACGTCTTAACAGATCAAATGGGTATCAAACGTTATCACACTAATGACGTTTGTCGTCAGCGATTTTTGTACATCTATACGACAATTGTTTGACAAAGAAGAAATCTAAGTTAGAAGAGGTCATCCAATTTACAGCTCATCTACGTTAGAAGAAGTCATCCAATTTACAGCTCACGTTTTCAGTACATTCACCTCTACATATTGGCTTGGAAAATATAAATGTTTTATCTGCTGTTCTATTAGCATATCATTTCATCAACAACAGTAGATAAAGTTTGTGCGCCGTTTAGCCCGTTTCGACCCACGCTTGTTTTTGAAGTTAGAGCTCAATGCCTTTCTCCAGCGCGATTGACCTAATGATGACCTTCACTGGGTACGCTGGATTCTTCTGGAGAAATTCGACCACTCGTCGGCTCAAAGTTCAATAAAACAAATACGGACGTATAGCTATGCTGCCATTGGCGACTTCTACCTGGTATTCCACGTCCACCAAGCGAATCGTATCCGAATTCGCCATTGCCAAAGAGACCGACTACTGGAACACCCGGAAACAACTCGCTGAAAATACTACTTTCTACGTTCTGGGCCTGAAATAAGGACAGCGAAACACAAGAGATGATGCTGATTTGTCTTTTTACACGTAATTTATTGTAAGCCATGGACAGACTTCTGACAGATCAGTTGATCTACGAAAGCTGCAGAAAAATTACTCATAGTCAAACACAATGTATATAACTCATCACCTACATGCACACTGTCTTATAACTATCCTAACCGATGCGTTCTACAAAATAATCAGTCACGTACTAGGTGGAAGTGGACCCCTCTACCACTGCAAGCAAATAGAAGGGCAACAGAACGTCCAGGCGTTAACTGAAATTGATCCCCAACAACGGCCAGACGTGCTCGAACCTTCTCACGTCCACGACAATCTGGATCAAGCAGGACGCTCGCAGCACGAACTCCTTGACCATGAATTGCGAGACCAGTCATATTGACAACCTGTAAGGTTTACCAAGGACTAGTAAAGGATACAATGAAACGTGTAACTGTGCCCCGAGATGGTGTAACAACACTTTCTAATTTGAGCGAACTTAATTTGGAGACGCATGATGTAAACTTGTAAAATTATCAGATTCGAGTTATAGAACTTGATTAGCATTACAGTTCAAAAAAGCTAAACCTATACTAGAGGAAACATATGTTCCCTGTGGAGCAAACAAACTTCCAGATATAAAAATCTGCAGAATATATAATAAAAATTAGTAACGACTTCTGATAGAGATAAACTTTGCCGCTAAATTTTTTCGTGGCGAGCTTGAAATAATTTTTATGGCGGATCTATTGTGGAGGTAAGAGCAAATTTTGGATTACAAATGAATTTATTGAATTTGGGTCTATTTATTTGACTGTACTAACCTCTCGTTCGACACCGTCCACAGGAACGGAGAAATCACATACGAGTGCGCCCCCAAGGGCCATTCCAGGATTCCGCCGTATTGTATAATCGACAAGTCTAGCCGGTGCCGAACCTCCATCTGGCATCTCATTTGCATACAACACCAAAGCTGCAATGTTATGCACTTGCGATAAACCTAAACAAAAACAAATTACAAGTTAGAAACTATTGTTTGCAAAATGTTCGTACTTTTCTACTAAATATTGTATACGCTGTTTTAAGCAGCTGAATTCCTTAAGTGCTACTGCCCTGAAGTTTGCCCTGAAGGAGTGATTAAATTTTGGCATCGGATACAGCACCCACGTTATCGCCGAGGGAAAAGTAAGGATTGCATGTACAATTACATAAAAACGCCTAATAACTTTAGGAATAATAATCAGTACCCACCAGAAATTTCAGACAAGTAATCGTCGCGAAGGGACGTCGCACAGTCTTGCTGTAGAAGGCGGAAAGAGGTAAACTGGACGTCCGGCATATTTGGTAGAAAGAGTGTAGAAAAGCCGTCACAGTCCTCGATCTCAATAGGTCCTAAACCTTTATTCCAGCAGATCATACCCCAAGAGGTGCACAGAAAGATTTCTGACGTTCGAGGCAGTAAGGTTGATAAGTGATTGCATACTGAAAACAACATAGAAGTTATATA